GCAGAGCGCATACCCACACACACACACACGAATTCAGAAGCAAGCGCAGTGCTCAACGAGTCTCACACAAAGCGTCAAGTTTTTGCCAGTTTGCCAGCTGTGGTCTCTGTGAAGCCCCCTCTTAGTGAAAGGACGTAGCTGTATGGGTTAGGACAGCTCACACACGAGCAGGCGAAAAGCAGAGTTAGCCCACGTGTCCGTGTCAGAGCCAGCACAGAGCGAGTGTTGCAAACTGGAGGCGCTTGCTGACCTGCAGCGCCATGGATGCGAGCCGGCCCTTGGGCAAGACATGGGACCTGGCCCCCCCGAGCCCCGAGTTTAAGCCCAGCCTCGCGTTTGAAGAAGCTCGTTGTGCGTAGGATCCTGCAGCCTGACCGTAGGATCCCGGCTGACTTGGTGAGTCTCGCCTGTTTGCTCGCGGCACGCTGAGGACATGGTCCACGGAGACCGTGCAAGTGGAGCAGCAAAATGCCGTCACTCGGTGGCAACAAGTAGCCTATGTTTGTGCTTCGGTGGCATTCTCTTGGGGCCTGGGCCGAGGTCACCAGCTAAAGGCTGGCAAGGTCTTCTCAGAATTCATTACTTGCACGTTAAGCTCAAGCGACGGAGTTCTCGTTGTATGGAAGGGTCTGCCCTCCAGAGTCTGCCTGTGGAGTACAGCTCTTGATGGTCCCATTGGGCTCTAGCGATCTATCAATCTAGCGATCTCCTTGAGATGCGCATGATTCTGACAGGAATATTCGGTACTCCTGGGTGGGTCCCAGCGGAATTCTGCTGTGTACATGCATGATTACCTCGGCTGCAAAGTGGAGCAGTCTGGCGAACACTTTAGGTTCCTGCAACTCTCGGACGGCGCTGTCGGGGGGCTGCAGGAACTCCATGTACAGCGGTCACCCACAGATGTTGGGCTTTGTCCTCGTGCAAGGGCTGTTGGCTGGCGTAGAAGCGGTGGGACACGTGCCTGAGGCAGATCTTTGGTTGTCAGGGCTTGAACGAATTGCGGACATCAAGCTCTGCGAATTTGCGAGGCCCCGCTTCCTGCTACCTATGCTTAGGACAGCCGTCGTATGCCCGCACTCCGGGCTTTAGGGCCAGCGAAAATCGCTTTCAAGGTGCCCTTCTCGCATTTCGAATGCATTGTAGGTGATGGCCAGTTTTGGCATGTAGACGCGCCAGGACCAGATGTGACTCTGACAGTAGAGAAAGAACACGCGATTCTGCACATGTCAGTGTGAATTCGTCCAAACGTATCTCTGTGTGAGAGCGATCACTTGCGCGCCCTGACAATCCCATTTGCAAAGCACAAATTTGAGATGCCCTCTGAGCCTTTAAGAAGAAGGCGACCTTTCTCCAAGAAGGGCTTGCATGGGGTGAAGCGATTGGGTTTGTTTGCGATTGCTTTGCACATGCACTGTATGCCGCTGTCAAAAGCCGAGTGGTTTGCTTGGGATGGTCGGTTATTCTTTGGTCAGTTGGCGGGATATTGCGCTAATGATCTGACACATGTTTATGGATCATGCCATAGGAATTTCGAAGCCAGGTCCAAGTCCAAGGCAACTACAATCATCCACGTTTTATAATATTTGATTCATAAAAGGGAGGAGCTTTGGCATGGCGCACGTGAGCTGATGGCTTGATGTCGGTTCCGCTCCCAGCTGTGCTGTCTCTTGGAGACGGAAGCTCGCTCGAACTCAACCGCAACGGTACAACGGACGGATTTTGACGACCCGTGTGCAACAATGGCGATCGGCTTGCACTTCTTCTTTTTTTTGACGGAAGTATGCCCGTTGCCATGGTGTATTTTATTTGGCCTCGAGCCCTCGTGCTGCCGCATCACTAGGTGTCGGAGCGGACCTCAAAGCAGGGGCCTCGTGAGAACTTGGAGCACTCGCTTTGGCGCCAGCCGCGTATTTCAAGACGGAAGCGCCGAGGGCTGGCAGTGCCTAGGCAAGCAAGCTGCAAGAGTGCTGCGTTCGGGAGCTTCTACCAGGCCAACTTGGCCGTGACCCTACCCCGTTTTGCGACAGTTTTGTCGGGCCCGGAGAGGGTTGTGTTGCAATGTGAAATAGGTAGTATCCACCAATCACTCCCTGCGCTTTGCTCGACCTTATCTCTGTGAGCCAATGCGCTTGAAAGCTTTGAGGTGGAAACCGGCCTTTTGGAGGAGATCTGAGCGCAAGCCCAGGTTTGGCACGTTTTCATCTGTCACCGCTTTTGCAAGACAGGCAGTGCCTGAAGCTTGGTTGATGGTGCACCTTTCTACGCCTCACTTCCTGAGTTGCTGGAAATTACACTTTTTGGGACAATTTGTTAATGTTGAAACGCATGTGGAAACATGAACTGTGTTTGAAATGCTTGACCATAATGGCGCATGCCATTTTGGCTAAAGCTTTGCCCTGGGTTCTTTGAACCCAATTTGTGTGAAAAAGATTTGAGTTTGAACACCCTCGAACTAACCCCGATCAAGCAATGGCTTCCTCGGCAACCTCGGCAACCTCCTTCGAGCTGATTGAGGACCAGACGCTCACCGCGGAGGAGGTGGAAATGGCCAGCCAGGAGGCCCAGGAAATTCGCACACGCGAGGCGGCAGTGGCGGCCGGCCTGGTGTTGGACGAGCCCGAGGCCCCCCCGTCGGCTTCGGCTACCGACGTGATGAATGACCTCTCCAGTGCACTGGAGCGTCTCCGTGTGGCGTTTGCCACACCGACTTCCGGCTTGGGTGCCCCTGGCCCCGCCGAGGAGGAGGACAAGGACATGGAAGATGCGGACGTCACGGAGCGGGCTACTCCACTGGAGGAGGCACAGACACCACCCACGAAGAGGCTGAAGGGTTTCGTGGCGGCTTCCCAGAAGACCACGGCTCATGTGAACAAACCTGTCTCCCTGGTGCCGGTGGAGGGCCGTCCCGGCTACTTCAAGTTAGTGGACCTCCCAGACCTTTTCCCGGTCCTTCCGGCATCGGCGGCCACGTTGCTGAGGGACGTCACGGTGGAGGAGGCGGTCTCCCTGTTCCACAAGTTTGTCGGGAAGAATCTCACGGAGGACCTGGCGATTCGTATCCTGGAGGCTTATGTCCCGATGAAGATCCAGATCCGGCAGGAGGAGGTCTGGGCCTCACAGTTCCAGAGGAACAAGGCGTGCGTTGGCACCCAGCGGATGCACAGACTCGATGCAGGCCACTCAGATTACAAGCTCATGTGCAAGGCATGCGGCACGGGGTGGCCAGAGGCAGCCAAGCAGTGCTGGGTCTGCCCAGGCAAGGAGTTCGTCCCCTTCCAGGCACCCTCGGCTACCTATGAGGCGGACGGCATCATACAACCTGCTCATTGTGGAGGGCAAGCTGACCTGGATCCAGCAGCGGGAAGGGGGAAGCCTGGGTGCCGCTGGCCCCGGTGGTACCCGGGCAGAGGCAGACCGCAACCTGGTGGACGGCACGGTCCTGGGGAGAGCTCCTCCGAAAACGGACACGGCAGAGGAGATCACCATGGCAGACGTGGTCCCGCTCAACAGGCGGGTGGACATCCGGCAGGAGATCCTGTCCATGGAGGCGGACGACGAGGCGTTGAAGGTCCGGGAACGCCAGGAGATCAAGGTCAAAGTGCAGCGGTCCCTGAAGGAGGCGGAGGCTCAGAGCTTCCAGCTCTACCACCCCCAGGTGGACCAGGCGATCCGGAAGAAGGAGGAGCTGCATAAGGCCTTGATCGGGAACTGACCCCGGAGGAGTCCTCGGCCAGGCGACGGCACAAGGAGTTGGTCACGGAGGAGATGCTGGACAATGAGATGGCTATCCTGGCGCCTCTCCAGGAGGGCACGCAGGCCCTGCTGTCAGAGGAGGTGGCCAATGAGGGAGCCCGTCCTCACAAAGGTCAACCTTGGAGCGATTCAAGGCCAAGCTGCGCGACCAGTACCTGGAGGGGAAGGGCGTTGACGCCAGCCAGGCACTGGCTGAGGCGACGGGCTCCATTCAGGAGGCTCAGGAGGCGAACAAGCGCACCCAGGACACCAACCAGGCATGGATGCTTAACCACACTCTCAAGCCCTTGGAAGTGTCGGCGTGGCCGGATGATCTCAGGCAGGCACTGGAGAGGGGGCTATTCTGCCCCCTGGAGCTGGATGACCCCGAGGACATCCCCAATGTGGGAGACATCAAGGAGAAGTATGTCCCCTACATCAGGAGGCTCAGAGAGTCGCAGAACCCATGGCACCAGCCCCCCAAGGGTGCCACTGGCCCCTGAAAAGAAGACCAGCCAATGTCACAGCAGGACCTGGACTCGGAGGAAGGCAAGCTGTCCCTGCTCCTCTGGGCGATGAAGAGGCACCAGGGGGAGCTACGGATGTTTGGGGGGATCTGGAAGAAGCACTCAAGCGGTGAGATCCCCAAGGGCGCTGACCAGCAATTCAAGCTCACGCCGGAGGAGCTCCTGGCCCTGGAGCGCAGGACTCACCCACTCACGTGCGAGCAGGACCACATCGACCCAGTCATCTACACGGCCTTGGAGATCCGAGCGCAGGTGAACCGGGGCGAGCGCCCGGCGCCGGAGCAGGTGGTGGGGATCTTGTGGGCAAAAGGTGATGGGGTGTTTTGGACCAGGCAGACGAGAACGTGGGACCTGCCGAGCCTGACGGGGGTGTACGCCCACAGGTCACTTTCAAGTACATCTACTCGGCCTGGACCACTTTCCCGCTGATAGTGAAGACGCAGCGCCGGGGCCGCAATGCGGAGGGCTCGACCTCGGACAAGTGGATGGGCAACATCCTCCAGATGAGGAAGGAGGCGGTGCCCTTCCTGGAGCCTGGGCATCCCCAAGCCGCGCAGCAAGGCGGAATGGAGCTACATCTTCAAGGAGATGGGGACGTTTCTGGCGGCCAAGAATTTCATCGTCAACTGCCCGTTGCCGGTGATGGAGATCCCAGTGGCCCCCGTCCACGACAGCAAGGAGGCGCTGCGTTTCAGGGCGGTCTGCGACGAGCGGATCGCCCTCCCGCTGTCATCGCTGAGGGCTTTCGACTCGGTCTACACCAAGTTGGTGTCGGGCCTGAGCAAGTCCTCCATGGTGGAGGTGAAGGTCAACTGGCGTTGCAACGTGGTCCACGACTGGGTCGAGCAGGTCCCGCAGGAGGCGGCGGGGGCCTTGTACGACAGGTTGGGCTACTCCCAGGACCTCATCAGCTGGGTTGCTCCCCCCCTTTGGGTGCCTCTGGCCCCGGGAGGAGCGGCCAAGGAGTCGGACCCCAAGGCCAAGGTTCTGGGGGGGGCAGACACCACGCTCCGCACACCGGACCAGGGCACCAGGCGATACCCGCCCATCACCACGGCCACGGTCACGGCGGTCGCGGGCCGGAAGTACATCAACAAGCACTTCCCCAAGGAGACGAAGCATGTGTTTTGGGCCTCCGTGGAGTGCGGCTTGGTCTTGCCCAGCATCAGCGCCTGGGAAGTGGTGGGCAAGGAGAAGTTCAAGACCGCCGGGGGCTGCATGTGCAGGTTTTGCAAGGGCTTCTGGAGGGCGAGCCGCGGGGGGACCAGGCTGCTCCAGATCACGGGGTGGCACAAAGACAAGGCCACATGCTTGCAGCTGGTGACGGACGAGCCCTCGGAGCAGCTATATAATCAGTGGATCCGTGACAGGATGGAGTTCTACAAGAGGGTGGAGCCGACGGAGCCTCCCAGGGACGAGCGGCTAGTCCTGGGCGACGCGAGCACCCCGCGCATGCGCTTCAGCTCCTCGAATGGCCTGGGGGATGTCTCCACTGCCTTGTGGTCGGTCATTTTGAGCAACCCGGAGAAGTCAGGGCTGGCGGCCATCCACTCGGTGGCAAAGGAGGCGATCTTGAAGGGTGAGAGCCGCTAGGTCGTGTCTCACAACCCTTTTGGATGTGGAGTCGTGTGATCTCTTCCCGCCAAGACTTGGGTGCCTTTGGCCCCGTCTCGGGTGGGGGGAGGAGCAAGGGTGTCTCCTTTTGGGTTCATCTTTCACCGTGGTTTCCCCCCTGTTCAACACGTCACGACAGCCGGTTTGCCTCGATCTGGAGGCTGCATGCATTGGCTGCCCCAAGGACGGGCCATATCAGCCACAGTTTGGAGAAAGTGGCTGCGGCTGACTCTTGGTTCCCTGAGGTCCCCTTGGGGGTTTTGGGGAATCCCCCGTTGGGTTGGTCTTCCCCCCTCCGTGTTTTTTGGGGATTTCCGGGAGTTGACTTTTGGTCCTGTTGGGGCTGCGTGTGGCCTGCCTGCCCCTTTTGCACTCGGCTTCCCATGCAGTTTGCCGCGGTTGGGTCCCGGCCGTTCGATAGGAGGCTCGAACCCCCCCCCGTTTTCATCATGGCTAGGGTTTCTACCAAGTTTCTTTTGCGCCCGCCTTACACTCGTCTTTGGGACCGCATTCCAAGGGTCCTGTGGGACACATTGGCGGATGAGTCCTTCTCCCCGAGACAGACGGACGGGGAGCTGTTGGTCCTGATGTGCCTGCGCCATGGCACGGCGGAGGAGGGGAGGAAGCTGGGCGGGGAGCCGGCCGTCCGCTTCGCCCAGCTCCTGGAACTCTCGGGCATTCCGGTAGGGCAAGACGACCAAGTGGTACCGACGGACTACTTCAACGGCCTGGTGGCGTCGGCGGCGGGCAGGCTTCCCCAGCCTCTGTCCGCGGCGGACCTGGCCGACCTATGGGACAGCCTATGGTTCCTCCGCATGGCGACTGCGGATGGCAAGCCGAGCGAGAACTTTTCCCCGCTGGAGAATGAATGGGACCGTCAGGACCAACTCAGGTGGTTCTCACGAGATGACCCACCCCCACTCCAACAGCCGGAGCTTCTGAAGTGGAGGCACTGGCGGCCCGGAAAAATCAGGGAAATGGAGCCCACGACCCAGCGGGCGCTGGAACTCCATATGCGCGGGAAATGGGCGGAACGGCTCCTTGCCCACTTCGCCCCTTTTGCGGAGCACATCGCATACATGCAGGACATCCTGGGGGAGGACTTCCGCAAGGAGGCATTGGAATTGTTGGGGGACAGTAGGTTCCGAACACTCAGGCAACATTGCCTGGTCTACGAGAGTCTCCGGAAGAGGGGCTTCACAGTGATTCCATGGCAGGAACGACATGTCCGCTCTCTACTTAACCAGCTCGCCGAGGAGGAGGTCACCCCGTGCAAGTTACGGCAGGTATG